TCATAGTGAAATTCTGCAACAGTAAAGTAAATGTAGCTCTCATACGGAGAGTAAACCCCTATAAATTTTGTGTTTGTGTGTGTGGTTATTTTGTATCCTTTATTCATTATTTGTTGCTTTTTGGGATTTAGGATTTACTAGTATTCAATTAAATCCCCCTAATAATACTTTGGATAAAAATAAAGACATTGAATCTTCTCAAATAAGAATAATGTAAGACTCGAAAACCAAAATAGTAAGACTCGACATAACTAGCATTAATTTTAACACTATTTTACCCTTAGCTAGTTACATAGCAGCCCCCACTTCTCAGCTTGAAGCAAAGAGGTAGCTAGGCCTGCAGGGCTTGATGACATGAGTCATCATTGTCCACGTGTATTGTTAAATGTCCAACATGTAGCAAATGTGTGGCTGCAAGGATCGACAGATGGACATTAATAATCTCATGGGAATCCTTTTCCAAAAAGGGTTAGGAACTCATGGAAATGCCCAATTCATATATATGGGTAGAAAAGGGACAGAAAATTCAGAATCCTGTATCCAAATACCAAAAATTTGAACACCCCAAATGGCTCGAACAGAGAATCCAAAACTCCAACGAAAATTAGAACGTAGACAAGACTACAGATTTTATTCAACTCCAATTCTCAATGCACCAAAACTGTCCTTAATTGGTTGGTGTATAATTGATAGTTTATTCTGTGTATGCAGGAGAGATTGCTTTTGGATACTTTTTCTATTTCACACAGTTTCAAATATTAAGGTTAGAAGGTTTACTTATTAGTTAGAAGCAGGCTTTTTTAGGCTATATATAAGTTAATTGATCAGAGTAAGCTCATTAAAGTTTGCATCATAAAGTAGTTGATCATTTAGTTTTTATCCATATCATCAAAATTCTAATCTCAAGGCCCCTCAATCATGAAAAAACTAAGCTTTGAATTTTGAAGTATGTGTATAAAGGCTACCAATTAATTAACTATAGTACCATTCTGTATCATGAAGTCAAAACCTGAAAGAAACAGAAATAAATTGAAAGGAATATATGCATTAGATTGTTGAATTTAATTCTGGTGTCTCCATGTCAAGACTGAACAAGATAGTGCAGAAATGAGATCCATTATCCGCCGCAGGCTGCACCGCAGCCAGCTACACATGTGGAGCTGTAAGTTTCAGCATGACTATTAGAGGCTTCATCTTTGGATGCACCACCAGCACAAGAGAAAATAACAGCTGAAATGACAGATAGAGTCACTATAACTGCCCAGAAAAAGAGAACTGCATTGCTTAAACTTAAGCCTTCACTGCTTCCTCCTCCTTCCCCTCTTATCATCATCTCTTTCCATCCTCTCACCATCTACGGCCTCTATATATAAACTCTATTATGAGCCTCGGAGGCTAATGAGCTTAATGGTAGTGAAGCTTTTAGTCACATTACTCAGAATTTATAGTAGATTAGGAAGGATTTTTAATTTGTAATTTTTTTTATTTTTTTGTTCTTTGTTTTTGGAAGGTCAGAATTAAAGGAGGGTGCCATTATACTTGATTTGCCGCTTCGAAACATGAAGAGCTACTTGGGGTAAGTGCTCTAAATTTTGTGGTGGAATCACAATGGACAATATCGGATTTGTGGCTATAGTACAATGACTTGGAAAGCCAATAATGGGAAGACAGGAAAGAACCAAATGTAAATCCAATACTATACAAATGATATCCAATACTATACAAATGATAAAGGCCAGTTTGTTGACAAAAGGTGTGGCAAATAGAAAAGAAATGAAATGCAATAAAAAGAGGTAATCTCTCTATCTTTTCTGTAAAGTTTCTGATTTATATATTACCACTATTCAAGGTTAACTATCTAATCAAGCAGATGAGCCTTCTTCTTCAACCCCTATCAACATTTCTGTACGTTGCCTCTTATATGAAAAAAGGATATTAGGATATTTGTGTATCAATATATTACTTGGCAGGTAGCTCTGGTTAACTTCTGCAGAATCGGATTACTACTGGTGATTTTTTACATCTTGAAATTCAAGTGTCTGCTAAAGAGAGAGCCAAAAATTTACTGCAGCAGCCTGAAATTCATGTATATGGACGTACGTGCTTGATCCATTTCATGAAAATTCGGCGGATAAGTTGTAATTCAAACGCTTAAAATTATCAGGCGGGCTTGAATAAAATATAACCACTTGCGTTGTAGTGACAGAACTGAATTATTAGAGTCTTGAACATGACAGATTAAGATTGCTCCAAAAGATTCTTACAGTTCATGTGTTCTTTGAGGTCATCATCTGACTCAGATTAAACATAGAAGGCCTTCGGATGTAACCATTGTACAATATATATATATATTGAAGCAGCATTGAACCAAAGAGCATGAAGAAATTTGACATGTGTCGTCGTCGATGTCCACGTATGTTGACTAAGATTCTAACATGTAGACCAAAGAAACGGACAGATCTCATGTGAATCTTTTCCAGGATTAAGGAAAGGATGTAATGGAATTGGAAGTCCAGTCATGTCGATAAAATTCTGAATCCCGTATTCAAATACCAAAAAACTGAAAAAATCAGGAACAGAAGCCTTGGAAATCTTCCAATTTTCTAATTATACCTTTATGTTTTAACATTAACACCTCCTTTTTTTTATTTAATTAAAATAGCCTAAATTTAAGCATCATCACCATTTTTATTTTATTTTGTTCTTATTAAATATCAATTATATTTTAATTCGTTTAGTTTATTATCAATCAAATACATAAAATAAATACAAATTAAATTATTTTGTTTGAAGATTTATTACTTAAACTTAACGAATTACAAAGTCAAATTTCATGGATGATGATATTTCAAATTTTTTCAGTTGCCACCATTGAGACAAATTCTAGCTCCGTCACTGGAACAAACCCTTGGCTCCTCCAAGAAAGAACATGCAAAAAGATACTACAAAAATCTAATTAACATTACACATAGTTATATAACAGGTAACCTCCATTTTCGAAGGCACAAGTCGTTATTCAGCTGATTCCTGCTCTATTTTCCATTAAAAACTAGCTCTTTCTTTTACTTTTTTTCTTTTTTTCCTTTTCACCACCAAAACTGTTCACTTCAAAGAGGATATCTCACCAATCTAAATTATCAAACAATAAGAGAGAATTGATCAAAAGTTGGAGATACTCACCATTTGAGATCTAGGAAATCCAAACCCATCTTGGCGAAATATATATATATATGAAAATTGGACTTTGTTATTAGAAATATTTGTCGCACAGTTAAAAGTATATTGTGAAGACTTCAAGGAGGGTTGAATCCCCAAATTTTCGTCTTCCACCACGGTGGTTTATCATCAAAATAATATCTAAAATGCTATAGGGTAAATATTTTCTTATTATATATCTTTAAAGTTGTTAAATTTATTAGGTATTAATTAATGAGATATGCATTAACTCGTAATGTTGCTGATAGGGGTGAGCAGGTTTAGGTACCTACCCGCTCACCCATGAAACTGGAATCGAAATCGGAATTGGCCAATTCCTAGGATTTGGATTTGGAACCGGATTTGAAACTGATTTGGAACTGAATAAAGGTTTCTGTTCCGGTTTTGGATACTTGAAAAAATTGCAAATACCTTTACAATTCACCAAAATGACAAAATACGATGTAAAATTACAAATACACCCTATAGTGACTTTGTCTTAGGCCAATCCGGCTTGATTTTGGCGTTGTTGGTTGCTTCCGACACCACCAACACTCTCCACTCAACCTACACAACAAAACCCCTATCACCCCCCACCTGATTGCACCACCAATCGTGGGCCATTGCCCACTATTTTGGTCCGCATGTTTCAAGCTTTTTCAATTGATCGCAACATCAGAAATTACCTCCGACCCAACCAATCAACTCACCAGCATCCCCCCACCAAAACCCCCAACCTCGCCCATCGATCGCCATCACCACCCCCTTTGAGTTTCGTGCGATTGTCGCACCTTCCCAACCTAATTCTGGTTTATCCCTACACTAGAAATCACCCCTAACGCCACCAATTGAACCACCAACATCCCCCTCCAAAACCCCACAAACTAACCCCCGATTCTCAATTTCGATTCTGGTTCCTATTCCTGAAGTGGTGGAACCAGAATTAGAACCGCACAATGCCTATTCCAATTTTTGAGAAGCAGAACTAATTCTATGAGGGCTTGTTCCGAGTAGGAACCTTAACCTCAATTACCTGTCAGTTCCAGTTCTCTCCTAAATCACTGCACACTCCTAATTGCTGATGTGATATCTGGTGGTATCATACACTTTCTCAAACTTGTTTAAATTATTTTTTTAGTAAGTTAACGGTCAAACTAATTTTTTTTTTTTTTAAATTATCTCTTGTAAGATAAGGTCAAACTGAGACTGTTAATTGTTATGATATTGATAAGTTTTCAACTGAGCAAAAACGTCAACATTTATATCTTATGTCATATTATATCATCACAAGTTAATAAAAGAAAATATAATGAAAATAAAAAAAGAAAGAAGAGATGAGTCATCAAAGTCCACGTGTATTGATGAATGTAAAACATGTACCCCTCAAAAATAGACACAAAATATAGGGGTATCTTGTTCCGGAATAAGGATGTCATGAAAATCCAGTTCAGAAAAAATAAAAAAAATAAAAAAGACAAGGTAACTTATGTATCCCATTATCCAAATACCAAAAACCTGAAGCAAACCAAATGCCTCCAAGAGAGTACCGCCAAAAACTCAAACGAAAATCTTCTCTACACAAACAAAAATCTTCTCTACACAATAATTGCATTTTCCTCCAATTCCCAACGCTGCACAAGTCGTTAATCTGTTGGTTCCCGCTGTTTTATATATTTAAAAACTGCCCCATCTTTTCTTGGCCACAAATATATGTAATAAGGACCTCCACCGTTTGAAAATGCATTGCTTTAAATCCCCTCTTCGTTCAGTGTATGTTGTGCAGATATTGGGTTTAAACTTTAAACATGAGCAGCCAGGAGTCGCTTTGGAATTTTAGTGTCACTTGTGGAGAAACTGAAGTGGGGAAGTCCTCTAGAAATGAAAATAGCTTTGATTTACATGAGTCCTATGACAGTATCACTCAGCTAAGTTCTTGGCTTCAAACTTCTCGTTCAATCGAAACTGTGTCATCAGAAATGGATAGTTTCCCTGATATTTTTGAGGCCTTCATGAATGCTTCAGGTTCTGGAACATCTACCGGCAGTGTTGGCATAGGGGTTAAGCTGGAGACTTCCTGTGAACCTGATAAGGCAAAAACAAGTGAGACTAGTTCAAGGAAACCTGAAGATATGGTTCTTCAGAAGTGTCTGCACAGTGATGTGAGTTCACTGGTTTGGGCTGAGACTCACCTGGAGACTGGTAGAATATTGGTAGATTTTTATGCTGACAGTTATATTGTATGGCTGCAGGTAATAGACGCATCAGAAGAGCGGAAGAAAGAGCAAAATAATCGGCCAAAACGAACCCGGTCAGCTGAAGTTCATAATATGTCTGAGAGGGTAAGAGAATGGGAAAGCTTCATATACTTTTATGGTGTCTTCTTTCTAATCTTTTCATTTCAAATAATTTTCAATATGTATGTTTTGGTAAACAGAGGAGAAGGGACAGGATAAACAAAAGCCTGAGAACTTTGCAGGAATTAGTACCCAATTGTAACAAGGTCACAGTTGCTTCTATCTATATATTCCTCGTTTTATATCATATTATTTATTCTGATTTTTTATTAAGTTTTTTCTCAATTTCAGTCAGATAGAGCTTCTGTGTTGGATGATGCAGTGAATTATCTTAAAGCCTTGAAGTCTCAAGTTGAAGCAAGAATCATATATCTCTATATATATTTATATACACTATTCCATTCACTCACACTCCTGAAACTACTGTGCTGATACTTTTCTTGGTAAAATGCATCAGATTATGTCGGCTGCAAGAGGAGCTATATTACAAGCCTCATTCATGTCACCAAGTGGGGTTCAAAGTGCACAAGTTTCACAACTTTCCCAATTTTTGCCCATGAGGCAAGAACTAAGAATGGCTAATGGGTTCGGAATGGGAGTGGCAGCTGGCATGTGTTATTCTCCAGGTGTTTCTATGGTATCAGTTCCCTCGGCTGGCCTTCATCCTTCATTACCAGCAGCAGCTGTAGGCTTCCCTCTGGTGTCTCCGCCCGGAAATCTTATGCTTCCTCAAGTTCAAGTGCCGCTTATTCATTCAGAAACGTTGCCTCCGTCTGTCGAAACATCGCCCAGGCAGCCGAATCCTTTTACAGGGTTTTCTTCTCCATTCAACTTCTCAAGCCAAAGAGAGTATAGTTCTCAGGCAATGCGTAGCACTGCTATTGATCACCAATAACTTCAGATAAACCAGGTGCCTATTGTTTTAGGTCATGATTGCCCTGAACTTGTAATTTGATTTTATAAATTTATTCTGAGTTATTGAATTTTTCTGCAGGAAACTCTGCCATCTGTTTCAAGTTCTAAGATGCCATTGAGTCAGAAGACAACTCCTTCCATGACTGAGAATATAGTCTCTAAAGCTTCTTAATTCGACTCCCAAACAAGCTCCAGTTGTTCAACAAAGTTAAAGTGCCAGTTTCTGTATCTTAGTTTCAACTTCTTGTTGAGTTTATCTCTAGGAAAAGTGATATTTTGGAATCAACTCTTACACCAGAAAGTTAATTTATTTGCATCCTTTCCTAGATTCTTGTTCAAGCGGAATACCTGGACTAAACCTGACCAGAGTCCAATCCTGAAGCAATTTGTCCCGTTAACTGTTGAATAAATTAATAAAAAGAAAGTTTCAGCAGCTTGAATTTGGCTTCTTTAGTCTTTTCAATTCGTCAATTCACAAAAGTTAGCTAATTGAATAAGTTCAAGCACTACACTAATTGAATGCTGAAAGAGCTCAAATTATCTGTGAAAAAATTATATTTCTTGGAAGTTCCTGGAGATGTATCTATTTTGTACAATTCTGGAATGCTATTTCCAGGGTTACATGTATTTATTTCTTTTCTTTGGTGGGTGCCCTTGGAATCCTGTCAAGAACTTTGGAATTGAAATCCTGAAACAATTTCTTCATGTCTTGAGTGCTTTTACCAGCAAGATAATCTACCTCTCCTTGGAACCTCACACAGATAGCTGGCAATGTTTCCAGGCAGAGAAAGACTTTGATTCCGGAAACGAAAACACAATCCCAATTAGGCTCATTCCACAGAAAAGAAAATAACAGAGCAGGGAAGAAAGGTTCGTCGTCTTACCGAAATATAGGAGACTCGGAGAGCTGAAATATTCCCCAATAACAGAAAGAATCCAGAGCAAAACCAGTGTCTGATGACAAGAAATTAAGTGCTTATAAATCTCACTAAACCATCAACAAATTGACTCGAAAATGAAACTTTTTATACCAGAAAAAAGAGCCTGAAATCATTCCCAGATGAAATATCATAGAATTTTATCAGTAACCAGCTGAGGTTTCCGAAGAGAAATGCACAGGTGGATTCTGACAAGTTAAATTCATCAATTCTGTGAGGTGTTCTTCTGAAAATGAAGAACAAGTAATCACAGTTAGCTGAATTCAGAATTTCTAGGCTGCCTGGTGAAACTGTAAGGATTTGAAATCAAGAAGCAAATCACATTTGGATTAGGCTTGAAGATTTAGACCAGATTAAGAGGATGATCATCATGATGGTTAAGAAGTGACAAACTAGAGTAATGAAATGGAACTCCACAACTTCAAAAGTAACCAAATAATTGTCACCCCGATTAGGATTCCAGCTGATAAAGCCTTGTTCTTCCATAATACAATGTTAGCCACTGAAATATTTACCCAACCATGTGAGAATTGTCTGAAACTCAGGACACAACCCATTGTTCATCTCTAATTCAATAACTGAACAGTTTAAAATATTTGTAAGAGATAGAAAGATGAATACCATTTCCTCCTCCACCGAGGATATCGAAAAATCTTCCAGGAGCGGCGGATTCACGAGACATGATCAATTATTTATGTTGAAAGTTACTGTAAATTAATCAGTTTTAGTGGTGAAAGTAGTCTAATGAACTGGGTATATAAGGATTGTGGTTAATTCAAAGCTTTGAAGCTAAGAAACCAAATTAATATGAAGAAAGGAATGGCTTTGGCATGGCTTCAAAGGTTTGCTGCACATGCCAATTCAATAAAAAAGTTTGTTCATTCATGCATGGACTGGTAGACATGGAGGCAGATCTTCATGCTTTATGCAAATAAGGAATATTTTTTTACAAATTATTTTTTAAATGGAAAATTACGTGGCAACTGATCTGGCAGTGAAACATACCACGTGGATCACGGATGTCCCACATAATCTTTTAAAAAATAAAGACCCATTTTATTTTCGTAGAACCAAGAAATACAAATCGGGCTGACCCGGTTGGACTTAATAAATCAGGGTTTAAGTCGTTGAAAACCCTAAAAAAGTCATTCTTTTGACTCAGAAACTCGCAAAGCAATCGCAATGGATCCTCAGCCAGAACCAGTCAGCTACATCTGCGGAGGTACCGTACTTAACTTGATAAAGAAGTTAACTTTTTGCGATGTTGATGAACAAAAATTGATGCTAAGGAGACTAATTTTTCTTCTTTTTTTTGGGTGTAGATTGTGGAATGGAGAACACGTTGAAGCCAGGTGATGTTATTCAGTGCCGCGAATGCGGTTATCGTATCTTGTACAAGAAGCGTACCCGTCGCAGTAAGTGTTAATATTAAGATTTTTGGGTTTTTTTGGGTTTTTTTGTTTTTGGGGGTATCTTGTAAGTGCTTGCGATAACGTTTAGATGAACTAAGAATTAAGAGGTTTGAGCCTAATTAGGGTTTTAAAGTATCAAACTTGATTGTTTTGATTTTACGCTTCTTTATTTCAGGGTGCTGTTTTTTTCTTCATTTTTGGAGATTGGAATTCTGTAGTGGCTAATTTTTATGCTCTTTTGTTTATTTTTGAGTTTTGTTTTGGGTTACCGGTTCTCCATTTTGTATATTTTTATTGTTATAAGAAGTAATGCAGTCCGTTGAGGCAACGGTTTATATTGTAAAATGAGTTAATGGATGCTATACTATGTGGCTTTAAAGAGAGACGCTACGCATGCTGGAGTTGCTGGAGTTGAACTTAGTTGATGACTGCCTAGTGACAGAGATAGATTGCTGTCTTTGCTTATGTTTTCTGTGATGAGGATATATTAAGGAAGAATTTGTGGACTTAGTATTTCAGTATGTTTTGAAAGAGTTTAGAGTTTATATATTTGTCGTCAAATGCTTGGCTTGCGATATGGTTTAGATACGGTTGATGAACTATGATATATAAGTATTTGCCTTGTTGTAGTGCAAGCAAGCCGTTGTGTAACTTACGTGTACTACGTGGTTTTGAAGTTTAAACTTCCAGTACTTGGTGTACAGCATGTGGGCTTTTGAATTGTTCTATTTGTTGAGTGAATTTGTGGATTCATACTGTGAGAAAAGCTTTAACTAACTGGGATATCTTTGGATAGAATGTTGGAATTTTAACCCACAGTCTCTCCTGTTTGTGTTGGTCTTGTGTAATTAATGATCTAGCTCTCTTAATTTTTTGGTGCAACATCTGTGGTGCTTTTTGTTCTAATTTAACCTCTTGTATTGCTTGCATTGCATATTGATTTGACATTAAACGTGTTGCTCATTGCAGTTGTCCAATATGAGGCACGCTAGTAGATGGATGGAGTGGACATGTTATTGCTTGTGTCCTGAAGTATTGAAGCATTCCATGTCCTGTTGAAAGTCGCAGATGTTTTGTAGTATGTCTATAGTGTTTGAACGAACTTGTTCCTACTAGCATTAAGACTTACTTTCACTGGTTCAATGGTGAATCAGTATAACTACTTTCATTTGTGTTCCATGATGCAAATGTGTGGTGTTAATGGAACAATGTAATTCCGAAACTTCGTCGAAACAACAGTTATAGAAGTTTATCTGCAATTTTGTGTTGTGATCTCCATTAAACTCCATAGACTTCCTCTTCCTCTTTCAATCCAGCCCTGGCTTCCCTTCCTATTTCTTTCACTGTCCATCTTTACAATCCAGAAATCTAACTCATCTCCTTTCTCTTTCTTTCCCCATTCATTAGTTCTTTCAAGGTATAATATCCTTTAAACCCCCTCTTGAAATTTGCTTTTATTTCATCCCTAGTGGATTCAACCTCACAATTTCAACCCTACCAGCCCCCTTCAAATCATTCATTCAGGTAGACCTAAAGCATCTGTTGGCACAACAATCTGAAAGTTTTGTTAGGTGCATATAGATCCAATCCACTAAATACATTAATGAATTTATCATAAATTAAGTTATCATTAAGGTGATGTGATTAAATTGAGCCTGATCCCAGCTAATCATCAAAAGCAGATGGTGGGATCATTATCAAGTATGCTAATGCCTAAACCTTACTTTAATCTCCCTTTTAAATTGTCATTTACTCATCAAATTAAGTGTTATGTGAAGCTTTATATCCACTTACTAATTGAGTTACACATCACATCACCGAAAGATGATCAGCATTTGCTTATCTTTGACTAATAAAATAGAATAAACAATAATTATCTTGGTTAATTCTACAATGAAAAAAACATTTTACTTTGGCCCCATAAGAGCATGCCAATCTCAAAAGTAGTTTGAATTGGCTCTATTTTCTATCCACGCCAAGAACTTTTTGGCCTCTGGAGAACAATTTGGATGGGATTTATTTCGGATGCAAAATTTGAAATTTTTTTATTGATATAGGCGTATTACATCAATTATATATACATTTAATATATTATTTTATTAATAATGTTTTGTTTATAATTGAGTCATACAACTAGATAAAAATTACACAAAATTTATGTAAAATGATTATTTTGCCCTTTGTTTTTTATTTGATTATATGACTCATTTATAAGCATAATATTACTAAAATATATATGTGATATAATTTTATTGGGTAGACTTATAGAAGATATGTTACGTTTATTTCATTTAAATCTTTTTCTTAACTTTTTAATTGGGTATTTTGTAATCATAAAAAGTGTTTCAGGTTCATTTATAAGCTTAGTTTATCGTGTATGGGTGTATGGAAATTTGAAATTGAGATAGTTTGGTCATGATTAAGGTAGTTGGAGTTTGATATAATTTAAGATGGATAAAAAGTAATTAGTCTAATTCAAGATTAGAATACATACCACTCTAATCATTTTAAGCTTTACATTAATTATCTTAGTGATGATTAATAATAATACCCACAAAACCTCTCACTAAAGTAAAATAAAATAATGAAAAAATTAACTTTAATTTTTTTTTTTTTTTATTAACTAAGATGTCCGAGCTAGCCATCAATCCACCATCACTAACCTCAACTAATCTTAATCCTTAGGGGGAGTTATCTTATAGCAACCCACTGTCACGGTCCTTCAAGTAAATCATGAGATAAGGCCTGTAAGGGGTTACCTTTGCACCCAACATGGATTTGAACCTAAGATTATGGGTTGAACTATTTGCAGCCCCCTTGGTTCGTCCTCACTGTTTGGTTATCCATAGGTGTTAAAATTTCACATGATATTTAATGAATATAATAAATTAATAAAGCATTTAAATCCAATAAATATTAGTGGTGATTAATGGAATGTTTTTATATTTGACCACTACCATCTTATAACACTACAAATTGGAAATGGAAATTAGTAGTGACACAAACTTTGGTTCGTAGTTTACTACTACTAATAATTATTGATTTATAATTAAAGCAAAGCCAAAATAAACAAAGTTTGGCATGACAAATTGATAGCCCCACACACTTTCACAAATTCATGAGTAATCATAATTTATTTTTATAAAAATGAGCAAATTCCTCCTATAAATTGGGCAAGTGAATTGAGCCTTCCCTACCCCAAGTCAATCCATTGATTTTTCTTTCTCTTTGCTCATTTGGGTTCCATTTTTTCCCTTGAAAATGGCCATCAAAGTGTCAATTTTAGCTCTGTGTTTTGTGCTTCTTTTGAGTGTGGCAATGGCTCAAGATGTGAATTGCAATCCATTGGAGCTGAGCCCATGTGCCAATGCAATCACTTCAGCAAGCTCTCCCACACCCATTTGTTGCAGCAAATTGAAGGAGCAAAGGTCTTGTCTTTGCCAATATGTGAAGGACCCTAACCTTCAAAAGCTTATAAATTCTCCTAATGCTAGAAAAGTGGCCACCACTTGTGGCTCCCCTTTTCCCACTTGCTAAAGCTAGAGTCTTGTGTTTTTTTTCTTTTATTTGATGGGTTGGTAGTAAGTTTGTTTTATGGGTCAATTTGGATGTGGATTTTGCCTTTGATTTTCTTGAATTGTAATGGGTAGAGTTTTTACTTTTTTAAGTTGGTTATATTATATGGTTTATTAGCATAACATATAAATAACTTTGGTAGCATATGTATTTTAATTTTCCAGGGATTATCAATCTCTTCTTATAACATAAGATTCGGGAAGGAAAAAATGTAACAGTTCAAACATGACACTATATTTCATTTCTAAAATATAACCACCACCATAACAAATATACAACATGCAGCTACTCCCAATAAAAGACCATATGGTTTAAATTAATCTCTATCTTTTTTCTGTTTTCTCAACAAAACCACCAAAATGGTGGAAATTAATCAACCCAGAAGATGATTAAGCTTTCTCGTATTCACTGGGAGGGTGAGGATGAGGGTGAGGCTGAGTAGTCATGCCAAGGCCTTCGTTGTGGTGCTTCTGCCATCCACCGGTGTCGGCCCTGGAGTGAGCCCAGTAATAGAGGATTGATCCTATCAGTGACAACAATGTTAAAGCTGCCCCTGCAGCAAAGACGCCTTTGCGAAGAGTGGCACAGGATAGCTCATTTCCACCAAAGATTCCTCGGTACTTGGTGTGATATGCATTTTTCGCTGATCCTGCCAATAAGCATGCTTCAGCTCCCAGAAAGCTAATCCTGTTGTCATTGTTCAAATTTTTGGTTAGTAATTTTAAGTCAGTCTTTCTTTATACACACTCTCCACAATCTGGCAAGAAATAAACTAAAGAAACAACATTTTCATACGGTAAAATCTGCCATAAAGATTCAAGAATTCATCTCATGGACCTAAACTAACCATAGTACTTCGAAGAGTCTACAGTTTTTTGGCAGTTGAAGGAACTAAACTTTGGCTGACAATTTGATCTTATTGTGAAAACTACTCAATAACTTTTCATAGAAATAAAGTTTCCATTTCTATACCTAATAAACTTTTGATATTTAACTAATTTTTAGTTGCATTATTTAAGGGAAAAAAAAAAACTCATATCGCTAATACTACTCCATTTACACTACACTTACATAAGACAGCATAAAGTAGAAAAGAAGCATTATAAACGATAAATCAAATCTTAGGGAAATACATTAGCACAGTTTACCGTAAACTCGGTTACTTTTCCTTTTCATTGTGTTACAGGACATATCAGCAGGGTCTTAGGGAAGATTGGTAAACCAAGCAAGTCAAAGAGTAGTTGAAAAGATGGATCTTTTATCACACAAAACCACATGCATTTTATTAATATTTTCAACTAAAAGAAATCTAAAAAGTAATGCAAAGTAAAACTATTTACCACAATAAATTCCATACTGCTTGTCTACCTACAAGATCTAGTACTTTCTGAATGAGGATTTATCAGTCAGTACTTTGGTGTTTATGTCATAATGTCAACTGAAATAAAACCCTTTTTTTAGATCAAATCCACAGAAAAACCTTTGATAATGTACAAAACACTTCCAACAGGGCATTCACATTCACAAAAAGATCCATTTCGATTCTTCTAAAATAAAAAACGTTGTTATTTCCAAAATCCTTCATCAAGTGTTTTTCCAATTAGCTTCACCAAACCTATTCTCATCATCCTTCTAGACAACCACTATTCCCCAAAATGAGATTCAAAAAACAGCTAATAGCAATAAGCCAAAAGTAAGGTACTCTCAGTCAAAAAGGTGTAAACCATATTCAAATTGTCAAACCTCTACCCACCTAGCTACTTCCATTTCCCACATTAAAATACATATCAAAGAAAGAAAGAAACATAATATAATGAAACTCTGAAATGATAAGCCACTTATGTTAAAGCTTAAAGTTGTACTTGTGCTTGAACCTACAATCTGTGCTAGAACTTAAATAGTGTTGTTAAATTTCACATCTACACTGGTGTGGTATCACGTTCTTCTTCTAGTCATTATGTGTTATGTGTCACATCACTTTGTTTCCTAAAATTTGCAAGTAAATTTTCTAAGCTCTTGAGTATAATTATCAGTGACCTTTCAACAAATGATTAGTGACAACTTCAAAAAAAACACCCCGCGTTTTTACTCAGTTCTAACAAGTACACAAATTTCAACTTTCTATCATAAACAACCCTGTCCTTTTCATTTCCAAAAATAGTGATAAAAATCAAAACTTTACTTAACTTCAGCCAACTAGCGAATGAATCTAGAAGAGTACAAGAAAAAGGGATAGAACGGTAAATTTACCAGGAAACGATGAAGAAGACGATGGCGCAAGTGGTAGAAGAGCTGCCAGTAACAAGGCCTTTACCAAAGCAAAGACACCTAGTAAAGCCGTTCAACACAGCTTGACTCAATAACAGCAAACCAAACGCCGACAATCCGTACACCGTCGACGCGTCCGTTCCGTACACACAGTAAGTCTGCTCATCGTACTCATCCGGCACCACCTTAGCCTTCAAAAACCACCCAAGAAAACACTTAAAAAACTCAAAAAATGCATTTAAAAAAAAAAAAAAAAGAAGCAGCATCCAGCCATCAAGAGAGAGTACAGTGCTGCGACGTCGTTCGGCTCCGACGGCGAAGACAAAGGCGATGAGATGAAGAGAAGTGACGACAGCTAAAATGGAAACTGACATAGCCATGGTTTTCTTTTCTTTTTTTCTTTTTCTGTTTTTTGTTATATTTTGAGGAGAAGGAGAGCTGATAGATAAATATAAAACGACAAATATAAAAATAAATTTAACTAATAAAGAAATAGGATGAAAAGGACTCTGCTTTTGAGAGCGTGAAATTGTTTTTTGTATTTAATTATTTATCAGGCTGCTTTTTGGGATTCCTGTTTCGTGGATATTTGTTTCAAAGGTATGAACCGGATCCGGATCGGTCTTTCAATTATTGTCTTATTTGATATTTTGAGAGGTTTGGATTCGGTGGTCCACTGACCACCATAACTCTATGCAACATCTCTAAATCAGAAACCATATTCGGAATTTTTTTTATTTCAAGTGATGTATTTATTGATACAGAGTTAGGAATAAGTGAAAGATCATATTCTCCCGTTCTGTCATAAGTATCTTCATATTTTCTTGAATAGAAAGAAAACTTTCTTTTCTCGATCTTAATTTATATAGAAAAGTCAAATATTATGGTTTTAGTGGAATCATAAAAACTCAAATTTACATCGGTATTATAGAATTAATTGGTTTAGACATCATAAGGTACCTTAGAACGTATATATATATTAGTCTAATTGAATTCGACAACATATATATTTATTTTTCTATTTATTATGTTAGATATATATTATTTTTTAAAGTATAGAAAAAGAATCTAATTATTTATATATTACTTCAAATTAAATTGAAGAAATTCAATTGTTTTCAAAAAATTACTTAGATTTACATAAATTTATTCAGAATTATTGACATTATTTCATGATGTCAAAGAGATTATGATATCAGGATACACGTTGCAGAACGTGATTGGAAAAGAGATAGGGTTGTAGGCTTCGTGTCTGGTTTCGGGAGTAGCTGATTTTATCAAACAAGTGAAGTGGGACCCGACAACAGTCAGACTTATTGACAAATAGGTCTGCCCAAATAGCTGGACCCCGGTTGGCTTGTCGGGACACCTGTTTCCAGGTAAGTTCACCGGTTATAGCCGGTAACGATCTCTTGGGTAGGAATGAAATTGGGCTGCAGCTGGCCCATTGTGATTTGGGCTTGAATCCTGGCCCAAGGCGTGAGATGGGCTGATAGCCTGACCCATATGGCTCATGTCCTGATAAGTTGGCCCTTATTGGCTTCACTGGAATTCCATAATGTCATATCGTTATGAGTAATATTACTATTATCAATTTTTATATGCCGTAAAAGACAATTAGATGAAAGTTTATTTTTAATTTAAAATCATCCAACCATCTTTTTCCACATCAGTTTTGTATGCCAAAATTTGTAAGTGTAATATTATTCAATCGCTATTGATACCGATAAAAATGATATAAGAACATTTTTCATCTATTACAATTTTTACGTTTAGTATTATATATACAATATTAATATTAATAATACTGTCACATCCCATTTGTCAATGAATGAGAGATTAAGATAACTTATAAGTGGGAAATCATCTTAACTAGGTAGATAGGTGTATATTGGAGAAAGATATCCATACGGGTTTGACCTATTTCGGAAAATACTTATTTGTATAAATGTATTTGAAGAGGATAAAGTATGAAGAAAAATATAGTGTATAATAAGATCCTTAATTTGATGATTAGTTGAGATGTTATTTCTTGCCTAACCTTATCCAATTTCATATTTAAATAAGTAACTCATGAAACATAATTATAAATGTTATCACATTGATCAAATTGAGGTTATATACAAAGCATATGCCTTATATCACATTATTCCATCTTAGTCAACATTTATATATTTTGTTATATGTATTTGACAACTCAACATTAACATCCACATATATCAAAATAATACTAATGAATAATAGTGTATATTATCTCATAATATACACTATTATTCATGAAAAGATATATGAGTTTGTTATGTAACTTAACAATTATTATCTTCCACTTCCTCGGCCTTGACTAGCACAACCTTAAAAACCTCGAGTTCTTTATCTCTACACTTGTGGGAATGGAGGTCACGAATATTACTTATAATGACTTTGATACTATGATAAATGAGTTTGGGTAGAACTCGCTTTCAAAAGCTAATTCAAAGGAGGAGTCAGTCTAACCACGTATATATCATTAATTTGACGATGTGGGATAAATTTAACTTTTAACATAAATTATGAAACTAATAATGTGGATTATGAATATTAGGATCTGGCATAATCTGAGGCATCATTCTTATCTTACAAATTAGAATATGCTTCTATATTATATTTGCATGTTCTTATATATATATGCATACGTCAAATATCAAACAAGATAAACTATGATTGAATTAACAATAATAAATTAAACTTATAAAATCTAATTTATTTCGTTTGGTACAACTGTTCCAATAGTATTTATTNAACCTTATCCAATTTCATATTTAAATAAGTAACTCATGAAACATAATTATAAATGTTATCACATTGATCAAATTGAGGTTATATACAAAGCATATGCCTTATATCAAATTATTCCATCTTAGTCAACATTTATATATTTTGTTATATGTATTTGACAACTCAACATTAGCATCCACATATATCAAAATAATACTAATGAATAATAGTGTATATTATCTCATAATATACACTATTATTCATGAAAAGATATATGAGTTTGTTATGTAACTTAACAATTATTATCTTCCACTTCCTCGGCCTTGACTAGCACAACCTTAAAAACCTCGAGTTCTTTATCTCTACACTTGTGGGAATGGAGGTCACGAATATTACTTATAATGACTTTGATACTATGATAAATGAGTTTGGGTAGAACTCGCTTTCAAAAGCTAATTCAAAGGAGGAGTCAGTCTAACCACGTATATATCATTAATTTGACGATGTGGGATAAATTTAACTTTTAACATAAATTATGAAACTAATAATGTGGATTATGAATATTAGGATCTGGCATAATCTGAGGTATCATTCTTATCTTACAAATCAGAATATGCTTCTATATTATATTTGCATGTTCTTATATATATATGCATACGTCAAATATCAAACAAGATAAACTATGATTGAATTAACAATAATAAATTAAACTTATAAAATCTAATTTATTTTGTTTGGTACAACTGTTCCAATAGTATTTATTTATTTTTCTAAATAGAATTTTAGCTAGAACATATATATTATATGGAGAAGTATTTTTTAAAGGGAAATACTAAACTTACTTATTATGCATATTAAATGGATATCGTGAGTCTCGACTAACATGAAATGCGAGGTAGATAGTCCTTATCACGGCCATGTCGCATTCCACGTCGGTCAGGATGTCCATTCAGTATGGTCTTACTCCTTTGTAAATTAATTAAATATATAAATAAATTGAAATAATAATTATTTTATGTTTATCTAAATTATTATCCATATATTAATCAACACATCAGCCATATGAGAAATTCTAATCAAAGTAAGTTTTGACCTGACCAAACTTATCAAATTAGGCATGTGCACAAAAATCCCTTTAAATTAAATAAAATTAATTAATTAATTATATCCAAAAACTCGTAACAAAACCCAACTTACCATATATGAAAGAAGAAGATCAAAGTGTTACGATCTTCATATATTCTCTCAATGTACAGGAACTGGCATTGCCTTTAAACTTGCTTTCAGATAAGATTGCCCTGTATATATCTTGACGATCGTTTGAAAATGGCTTCCTCTGATCTCTCTATGATACTTCCTAGGGTTCTTATCGTCTCTCGAAGAACCCTTCGCAAGAACAAGTTTGTGGATTTTGTGGGTTCGTTTCTCTTGTCTTCTCTTTCTGCGTTTGTTTTGTAGATTTATGTATATGGCATATATTTTACGTTCTTTTTATAGTGTTTTCACGTGATTTTTCTGTATTTTTCTTGATGTTTATAATTAGTAACAAATCTGTAAATATTAGAACCAGTCATACATAACATGATCTGGGAATTTTTTGTTCTATGTTATGCTAATGGATCGATATGTGTACATTAATATATGTATATTTTTTTCAGTTAGGGTTTTAATATATTAAACGGAGTGACTCTTCTTCTTCATGAAACTTTAATATCTTTAATAATTCAATATAAAATTATAGAATTTCGACAGTAGGGTAGATGCATAATGAAACACGACAACTGGTGGACGTATGAGTAAATCATTGAGAAAGATGGATGATGGAATAACAAAATTAACTTACCAAATCAACTATAAGATGAGTTTTGGATTACAACTTTATATGTGTAATGTTTTTTTTTTTATTATTGTGTGAACAGGAGAATATCATCTAGATCTAATTGTGAGCTATGGAGCTGTGCCTGTGATCGTCCCAAGAGTCAGTGGAGTTCACATGCTCTTAGACAGCTTTGAACCGATTCATGGAGTTCTTCTCTGCGAAGGAGAAGACATAGATCCCTCCCACTACGAATCAGAACTCTCAGGATTTTCCACTCAAGAGCTCGAAGAAATCAGAGAACTCCACGCCAGTGATACCGCAATCGACAGAGAGAAAGACACAATCGAGTTGAGACTTGCAAAGCTTTGCCTGGAAAGAAACATTCCATATCTCGGAATTTGCAGAGGCTCACAGGTGCTCAATGTCGCCTGTGGAGGCACGCTTTATCAGGATGTCGAGAAGGAACTTTCAAAGATGAAAGGGAATTTGCAGAGAGTTGTGCATATGAACTATGAAAATTATGATGGGCACAGGCATTTGGTGAAGGTGCTGGAGGAGACGCCATTGCATGACTGGTTTAGAGATTCTTTGGAGGAGAATAGAATGGAGATTATGGTGAATAGTTATCACCATCAAGGTGTAAAGAAGCTGGCTCAGAGATTTGTACCAATGGCTTTTGCCCCGGATGGTTTGATTGAAGGGTTTTATGATCCTGACGCTTATAATCCTGAAGAGGGTAAGTTCATTATGGGCCTTCAGTTTCATCCTGAGCGGATGCGCAATCCTGATTCTGATGATTTTGATTATCCTGGATGCCGATCCGCTTATGAGGTAATATAAGAAACATTTTTAAGGTCGAGTATGAAGAAGATACATTGATCCTTTCGAAGAATCTAAGTTTTAAAGAGTCTTTGTGCAGGAATTTGTGAAGGCAGTGATTGCTTATGAGAAGAAGCTGAGTAGCTCGGCAAGAACACCGAAGTCTGTCACGTTTAACCAGGAAATGGAGAAGAAGAGGAAAGTACTTGTTCGGAGTTTCTCAATTGCAAGAAACATGTACAGTTCAGGAGGCGGGAAGGTTTCAGGTCAAGAATCCGACTTGCAAGTCGGAGCAGAGTTCCTCGAGGTTAACCCTAAACCTAAATGAGTTTCAAACAATTTTCATGCTTTCAATCATTTAAATTTCCCGACATGGTACTGTATCAGTAATCCTAATCCTAATGCATGGTTATGCAGGCAAATACTGCGTTGAGTTTACAGCAAGAGAAGAGGCTGAAGCAAATGGGGGCAACAGTAAGGAATGCATCTTCATACATACAAAGATTGAAGAAGAATGAAGAGAGGGAGAGAGTGGCAAGAAACATAATGGGGAAGATGTCGATAGAGCAATTATCTGAACTCAACTCTTTCTACCATTTGATGGGTCAAATTTGTTCCGAAGCCTTGGAGAAAAAGCTTCACGATCTAGTTCTGGTCAATGAAGAAATCACCGAATAACTTAAATTTATGTTTCCCTCAATTTGTTGTGGATCAATTGTAATCCTTATGCAATGTTTGTTCAAATTAGCGGTTGTTTTATCTGAGTTTGATCTAATATATGCAAAATTGAAGTGATGTACGATCACTTATGATTTTCAAATCCTAAGTCTCTTTTTTGTGAACCATCAACTCAAGTGATAAGACAACTCAAATGATAAAACTAACGCTAAGATATATAATTAGATATATAATTAAAACACACGGTCTTACATTCAAATCCCCCTAGGTCTCAAAATTTAAGTGGAAAGTCATGACAATGAGTTAATGCACTTACTTCCCAAAAATTAATCAAAATACGCGTAAACTGAATTATACTGAAGTACACTTTGGTTTAAAAAAAGAAAAAAGTTCTCTATTTTGTGTTCAAAAGAATCAAAACTAACAAATTCAGTAGAAACATGGGCACTTCAAATATGTGAATCACGCAACAAGGGATTGAAAAAACAAAAAAAATAAAGCATCAAGAGAGCCGTGTAACGAACCTTATCATCAATTCATATAAATAGAAGTATTCCTTTTAACAAACTGTTCTTCAGATGGAGTTGACAAAACGTAAAGACTTTTTAAGAGTTAGTAACTAGTACAAACATGGGGTTGCTCAAACTTGACACTTACACAACCTCCCTATCAAAAATCAGAATCCCCTTAAAACGACAGCAAATAAATTATTACATCCTAAGTACTGATCATCAGGGCATAAAAAAAGAGCCTGTTTTTTTTTTTTAATACAAACCATTTGTCGATATGGATATGGGTATGGATATAGATGTAGAAAAGAACAAACTGAAACTTGCTCACACTGATACAGCAAGCCAAACACATCTTCACCTCGCTTACTAGTAGCTCAGCACTTCAGCAGCTTCTCTACACTATAAAATCGAGACTTATTGCAGTTGATCTCATTCCATTTCAAAGTGTTCATACCGTGTAATGCATTCTTTTCTTCTCTCATCCTTTTTTTTTTTTTTTTTCCCTTCCTCATTTTCATTTAAGTCATTTATAACTAACAGGATATCAAACACCATAATCACTCCAAACTCGACTTGTGATCTTAAAACTACAACAAATTAAGGTAACTTCAACTCACAGTAACCTCTTCAGGAACAAGATATGGTTGGATGGTGGTTTCCAGAATGGTTGCAGCATTACAATTGCAGTCATATCCCAGCATCACCTACGGCAGAAAAATATAAAATCTGGGTGCTCAACTTGAAGTAGTCTTAACCAATTATCAGCAGCCTGCAAGAGGGAGTTTGTCAATTTGCGCTCACAACCCCCATTAGAGGTCCATACCGATCCCTTAAACTTGTATGAAGCGAGACCAAAAACAGGTAAGGACATCTTAGCAACACCATCAATCTTGTTGGGATATGTCACAGCTGGAGCTTGTGCACTTTGTGGAACTGCAAAAGTTCGGTATGATAAATCAGAAAGATTACAAAATCTTCATTTGACAGTAATGTAACAGAAATAAATCATCACACTAAACATAGAACCAAAAAAAAAAAAAAAATAGCCATGAGTAGTTCAAATACATGCCTTACAGTTAAAGAGCTTTTATTCCACCCCAACTACAACACTTTTTCACTCTTTCTCATAATAGAGGACTCGGAAAGAAAATGTTCCATACTAATGGATTCAAGTCCATATAGATATAGATTTCCAAACATAAGGTTAATGATTACATGCCACAATACAACACTTGCGTTATTGAATTTCATGAAAAGGCCTGTAACAATTTTTGGCTTCAAATATTTACCTAGACCCACACAATTACTCCATCTAAACAAATCAACACACATAATACCCAAGTAGTGCACAATAATTGGCATAAAGATCCACAGTATTCTCAGAATATAAATAACACCGACAAAGAAAAATTAGGCACAAAAAATCAATGGCAGCTTTTCCGTTACCTCCCATTGGTGTATGAAGAGAATGATACGTCAAAAAGCATGCATCCAGATCTTTTAATGTTGGTCCTGTTGGTATTCTGTAAATCGGATACCTACAATTTTTCAATCAGGACCATTAGTTTAAATATAAATAAAGGAGAATCATAGAGGTAGAGGCATAAATTATGTTAAACAACAATACCAGGCCACAGAAATCCAGCTAGAAGGCAGTAGGTCACAACTTCTTAGTGTTTTCAGCTTAGGGAAATGGGAGGCGAGAACTGATATCTGTGATGACAAAAAGATTCAGGAAAAAATCAGAACGGATTAAGGCTAAAAATTGGGTGAACAAAGATCCCTAAATAGCATGGGTTTCTATTTCTTTTAGAACACACATAAGAAAAAAAGAAGAAGTAATTGCCTTGTTAGCTAAAGGTTCCCGGCTATAAGGAGCATCTCGTTCAAGATATTCAAATAACAAACAACCTTGAAAGTTTGTAGATTCGCCCTCATCACTAGAAAAGTCTTCTTGAACACTATGCTGATCTCTCAACGACAATCTATCCATCCTAATCTTGTTTTCTTTACAATGATGACTCCATTGCTCCCTTGAGCATTTCATTCCTCTTTCAGGTTCACAGTCACTGCTACCATCACTACTTGAGTCCCTAAAATCACTGTCGCTATCCTCACCTAATTGCCTGCCACATAAGTTAACTGTTAAAACAAAACGATAGCATCTCTCTCTGCATAGTAATATGAGAATCAAACTGGCATCAAAGAAAAAGTAGCAAAACATACAAGCTAAGGGGAAAAAAAATTCTGAGGCTATCAATAACTAAAGAGTTGCCTTAAGTTGCACTTGAGCCAGTAGAGCTCAGCACCAGCTTTAACCAACCTCTATAGGCAATTATTTTAAACAATAGCTCAAAGCCACAAGTCAGCTAAGAGTACAGCATCAATCCTCTAAAAGAAAGCATAGGCCAATATATCATCCCTAACCCTCAACTACACCCCATGGACGCATTATCCCTTATTCATTCAAGGACACTGTCACCTTGTAAGGCAATAAATTGCTCCCACATCAAGATTTACTCTACTCACCTAGGAGGATAAAATCCAATAGCGGATCACCCCGATCTTCTAATCTACATTTAGAATAACTGTAGACGGTAAGATATCATTCTCTAGAACAAAATACCAACATCAAGTTGGCATTTACACAAAACTCCTATAACTCCACGTTTACAATCCTCTGCCCCCTCTCCAAACTACATTTCCCCAATCACAAGAGGTTATTCCTTGTTCAAACAATCTCTTGACATCACATTATATCTTTAATCCTAATTATCCATCTGGTCAGTAAGTTTTCCATGGTAATCAACTTGTTCAGTCCAGATTTGTACTAATATTCAAATAATAAATCTATAGAAACAGGCAAATCAACCTACGGAATAAAAATAAACCCAACAGTATTTGATGCCAGTAACATAGTTATTACCTAGATTTCGCAACAGATGAGTTCGTAGAATCAACGTATATTTGAATGCCAGACAAATACGGAACATAATACTGAACAACACAATCACTGTCGTTCAATACCAGAGGAACCCCTGCACCATAAGCACTCCACTCCCAGAACGACTCCCACAAATCACCAAGCACAAAGTACGGCCGATACTCCACGTCACACGTCCTCCTCCCCCTCATCGACATCGTAGTCTGCCACCAATTTCAAAACAAAACAAAACAAAAAAATTATATTTTCAGAAACAAATACGAAGCAATCAATCACTAAACTAAAATAAATGCTAAGCAATAGGTATCCAAACCACAGTACCATTACAGAGATCAAATTCTTTAAAAATAGAAAATAAAAACATAAAGTAAATGATAAGCGGCTGAGATTCAAATTCCAGTACCGATACCGAGATCNAGTTGCACTTGAGCCAGTAGAGCTCAGCACCAGCTTTAACCAACCTCTATAGGCAATTATTTTAAACAATAGCTCAAAGCCACAAGTCAGCTAAGAGTACAGCATCAATCCTCTAAAAGAAAGCATAGGCCAATATATCATCCCTAACCCTCAACTACACCCCATGGACGCATTATCCCTTATTCATTCAAGGACACTGTCACCTTGTAAGGCAATAAATTGCTCCCACATCAAGATTTACTCTACTCACCTAGGAGGATAAAAGCCAATAGCGGATCACCCCGATCTTCTAATCTACATTTAGAATAACTGTAGACGGTAAGATATCAGTCTCTAAAACAAAATACCAACATCAAGTTGGCATTTACACAAAACTCCTATAACTCCACGTTTACAATCCTCTGCCCCCTCTCCAAACTACATTTCCCCAATCACAAGAGGTTATTCCTTGTTCAAACAATCTCTTGACATCACATTATATCTTTAATCCTAATTATCCATCTGGTCAGTAAGTTTTCCATGGTAATCAACTTGTTCAGTCCAGATTTGTACTAATATTCAAATAATAAATCTATAGAAACAGGCAAATCAACCTACGGAATAAAAATAAACCCAACAGTATTTGATGCCAGTAACATAGTTATTACCTAGATTTCGCAACAGATGAGTTCGTAGAATCAACGTATATTTGAATGCCAGACAAATACGGAACATAATACTGAACAACACAATCACTGTCGTTCAATACCAGAGGAACCCCTGCACCATAAGCACTCCACTCCCAGAACGACTCCCACAAATCACCAAGCACAAAGTACGGCCGATACTCCACGTCACACGTCCTCCTCCCCCTCATCGACATCGTAGTCTGCCACCAATTTCAAAACAAAACAAAACAAAAAAATTATATTTTCAGAAACAAATACGAAGCAATCAATCACTAAACTAAAATAAATGCTAAGCAATAGGTATCCAAACCCCAGTACCATTACAGAGATCAAATTCTTTAAAAATAGAAAATAAAAACATAAAGTAAATGATAAGCGGCTGAGATTCAAATTCCAGTACCGATACCGAGATCAATCCAACATCAAGTTAGAAATTAATTCTAAAAAATTTAATATTATTTGCCACGAAGTAACGTTACCAGAGCAGTGTATTAGTATTCAATCCAAAAACGAACCTTGGACAGATATTGAGCCGGCACAGACGGCGTGATCGACTCCAAAAACCGTTCCACATTACTCAAAACCGGTTCAAATGCCGGTTCCGCAACAATTTTGGGAACGTCGTTTGAACCGGTACGGTCCTCCGGCTCTCTAACTACCACCGACTCTTGCGGTTGTTTTACCGACGATTGACTCGGCGTCACGTCGCTCTTAGCTCTACGGAGTTGCTCGTTTATCGAATTCTGCTGCGCTCTGCGTGCCTTGGCCGGATTGTAAAACCGATCCTCACCGCGATGACGCGTAAACGGCAAACCTGTCCCGAACATCTCTACACAACCAAACGAGAAGAAAAAGATAAACCTAATCTGGTTGTTTTGGTACGGATTGAATAAGAATTTGGTGAGAAGTGAAATAGATCAGAAGGAACGAATAAGAGTTCCGTCAAATAAAACCCTAGTGGTTATAATGGAGATGGTGAAGGGCACAATGGTAAAATCAGTTCAGCAGAAGGAAAAGAAATCGAGATTCAAAAACCAGACTCTGAATAAATGAATGATGGGCAGAGGAAGAAGAAAAGAAAACAATTATTCTTTAAATAAATTAGCCCCTTGAGTTTTGAGTATTTTATAGGAACCCTGTAACTTTAAAAAGAATTAGAAACACCCCCTTGGTATTTGTTAATAATTTATTCCCAAATATTTTCAAACGAGCAAGGATAATTAAGTAAATTCACTTGATTTTAATACTTGAGAAAAATTTGTTTGTCTCAAAAATCAATCTGAAATTCAGAGCTTTATCAAAATAATTTAATATTTTAAAACAAATACTTGAAATATCTAAAGATCGTAGTTACCATTTAAAATTTATAAAAAAAATAAGTAAGACTATTTTTCTCATTTCATTACTATTTCCGAACATTTAAACCAAATGAGATTCGTGAAATTCAATTTATCTTTTATTTTCAAGAACCAAAAACTATATTTAAATATTAAATAAAATGTGTCTTTAATTATCTTTCTCTTTTCTTTTTTTCTTGTCTTTACAAATTCGTTATATACATTAATAATAAATGATAAAAAGATGTATATATTAAAACTTTTAAAAATATAGGGTTCTTATGAATATCTCAAATATTTGGGGATAAATAAAAGTTCACTTTTTTTCTTCATAATTAAATAATTTAAAAAGAATTTAATAATTTTTTTTTTTAATGTAAGTATAAAAAATAGATTTGACTAAATCGGGCTGTGATTGGAGGAAAATGGAAAATACGGATTAGTTATTGAGGGGTCAGAAACGACGTGTCGCCATGTGAGGAGAGATGGTGAGAGACACGTGTATGGTCAGATTTGAGACATGGTTTGGCTGTCTTTTTCTTATCCCATTCGATTTCATCGAGAAATTTTAATAGTTTTCCCGGGTAAGAAGTGTTGCTTCCACGAACGCGCTTTTTTGAATTTGAGTTCCACGCGCCAACGCTTGGGGAAATCGTGGGGCCACATCGCCACGTTTGACGCTTGCCTGCCTAGTCACAATAGCTTCTCTCTCACTTATCCTTAATTATTTAATTAATTAATTATACAGTAGTTGAGTCGTGTACGCTTAGTGTAGATATTTTGTTTTTCCTAAATAATCAACCTCAGATAGTCTATGAAAAGTAATACGATTATAACTTAATTTCACAACTTCTCTTATAATTTTAATGAATCAATAGATTAATGCTGTTATATTAACTTTCATTATACATAAGACATAAAAAACATTACTAAAAACAAATAATTATTTCTCACGAAGGAGTAGTTATTCATTTATAAAGAATTATTGTTCTTTAAGGAACCACCAAAGTAAAAGTTATTCTTTTTATAAGGAATGGTTGTTTCCTCTATTAAAAATGATTATTCCTTATTTATAAATAGTAATTTATTTGATTGTTCTTTCATAAGGAACGATTATTCCTTCTATGAGAAACAATCATTTCTTTATAAAAAAATTGTCGTTCTCTATGAAGAAACGATGGTTTCTTTGGTTTATTCAAAATTATTTTGATGTGATAACACCAACTCAACTGTCAAGTCAAAGGTTGTAAGAAAAGTTTGTGAGGATAGGTTATTGGTGTAACATTACTCACCATTTATCATTCCATCTAATAATATATAATTCTAAATAGTGATTATGACGGTGGAATGTTGTACTAGTCAACTACAGGATTAGTCAAAATGCGCGTAAATTTATCTTAACACTCTATTTTAAAAAGAAAAAAAAAATTGTATAATGTGGTATACTTTTTTATTCATCGACCAATTGTATGTCCATTCGTTAGATATAAAATTTTCTCGTAGTGATATTAATAAGGCCACAACTATCACCTACTCAAAGAGGGGGATGATCATTATTGAATAGACTTGGACTCATGAAGAAGTTGGGAGATGGACAAGTAGATTTGTGGCTACAAAATTGAAATCTCATGGGTCCCTAAATTGCATGCTCACCTATTTGTGCACCTTGGTTCACTCATTTTCAAAGAAAATAAATGATAAAAGAAGAAAATTCAAATCATTTTGAAAAGGGAATTAGATGATTAGTCATTAAAGTAATAATGGATTGTTAATGTAAGAAAATTTATTTTCTTCAACCACATTTATTATTTAGAAATTAATTTATCAAGTATTTCATAAGGCGTCTTTCATTTTAATAGTAGGTCGTTTTTACGGTAATAAGTCAAGTTAAGAATAATTATCAAATCGACGAAGCTTGATAGCAGATGAGCAAGTAACCAACACCAACTCTCGATTAACCACTTGGTGTGTGGTTATGGCAAGACTTTGAGTGAGCAAGAGTTTTTGTATTCAAATCCTACAAAGTGGTCACCTACTATATTTGTGATTTACCTGGTTTGTTAAGTTTATAGAGTGTTCAATAGGTCATAAGGATCAGTTGAGATGCGTGTAAACTGGTCCAGACATCCTGATTATTAAAAAAAAAAAAAATCAACGATTAGTTAAGATGTACGCAAACTGACTGAACAACCTGGTTACCAAAAAAAAAAAAAAAATTCTCAACTCTGGCTCCCTATTGAAATTATTAATTAATCATAATGTTTATTTTAACGCAATCCAATAATTAGAGAGTTAAAATTTTATATTACAATAGTTTAATTTATTAATTAAATATTTTTTTTAAGACGTATCTAAATAAATATGAACTCCCTTTACATCCAAGTAAGACGTTTATATTTATAAATCTTGATCCTTAACATGTGTGATTAATTAGATAACAAGTTCAAACTAATTAATTATGATTAACTTATTATGAAATAAATTAGAAATGTGATATTATAGTTGGGCAAAAACCATATAATATAATGATTTTAATCCTTGAGTTAAAAACATACCCATATGATTATAAAGTAATACTACACCAACAACACTTTCTCACAAATTTTCTCTCACAACCATAATGTGTCAGTTTATAATTGGTCAGCTTACAATTAATTAGTAGGACTCATGTGAGACTCATTGTGAATTAACCAATTGCGAGCTCTTACGTCAGGATTGTGAGAAAAAGTTTGTGAGAGAGGATTTTTGGTGTAATATTTATTGGTGATTATAAGATATTTACGATAATTTGTTAGATTATTTTATGATAAAGTACCAGTAACGCTTTAAATATATCTAACCTTACGCTTAATTTATTATTATATTCCATATCCTTCTTGTAAGTTAGTATTAATTATAAATTAATTAGCAATTATTTTATATTTAATTATATTCAAGAGGAACAAAAGGCCGACCTTCAGCACGTCACGGCAAGATAACACGCCAGTCGGTCACATGTTAAATATTTAAGAAATTAAATTAACAAATAAATAAATAAATATGGGGTGTTTGTGAAGAACAGAAAAAGATCTCTCACGTGCAATCACAATTTTTTTACCTATTTTTTAATAATACTAATAATAATAATTATTATTATTATGCAAGGATACGCGATCAACTCAAAGCTATCGCAGGCACATAGTGAAGCGACGATCAAATTAGACTCAATTGTAAGATAGTTATCTTTCAGATCACGGATAAACATTATCTTCTAAATAAAGGAGAAGATCACGGGAACATTCTATACAATTTTAATTAGTTAATTATGTCATGGATCATGAGATTAGCTTTTGAAAATCATGTTATTATCCATAAATTTTTTCTTGTAACTGTTGCAATTTCATAATATAAAAACCCCTAAAAAGCATTGTAAGGGAGTTGGAAACTCTTGAGAGGAGAGATTATTATTATAAGACAGCAAAAACACCGGAAGCAGGCTTAATTTGAGCTCCTCCAATCACTTTAAAAACCTTATTTGGTTCCTCTTTTTTTTTTTTTTTTTTCATAATTTAATATATTTACTATTAATTATTATTAATCACGCTCACATCCTACTCAATTTTGAGTATCACAAGTTGTTACAAATTTTCGTAACAACAACAACAATAATAATAAAGTTAATTTTGTTATTAATTAAGGCTAATTATACTTTATTGGATACAAATTTATTATTTGTGTGGTTTTTGATGGATTAAAATGTTTACTTTGAGTTATTATCAAGTATTTCATTATATATATTTTTAATTAATTTAATTCAATCTTGAATTTTTTATTTAATTATTTTTCTTAACATGGTCTCCATATACATATAATGTATTATTTTATGTCCACGTCAATAATGGTTTATTTATTTATTATATAGAAAATTGGCATTGATTTGTGAAAATAATTGGATTGACAACAATATTTTATTTGGGGGAATTTGAAAATTTGATTTATTTTCTTAAATAATTGTATTGAATACCTTATGATCAAAATGTAAGGATAAAAACATAACAAAAAGATAAAAATATAAAAAAAAAAAAAATGGTATAAGAAGCAAATAATTTATATACGTCCGTTTACCCGAAAAATAAAATGTTATCCGAGTGATATTTATTTTGTAATTTATGTCAAGACGTTTTCAATGTGATACAAAATTTGATGTTAACAATCAAAAGGTAACTAAAAAAATAAATTAAACAATCCACAAAATGTGTTTATAAATTATGAAAAAAAAAAAAACAATGTTGATAAATTAATAAAACATTTTTATATTATTTTTTAGGAAGTGATGGGCATGAAAGGCCCCAAAATTAAAGATGAGGTTGGTCGTTGAGCATGACATTTAATTTTCCTTTCGGTAGCAAAAAAGTGGCAACAAAAACACAAAATTTGACTTTTTTGGGCAACGAGTAAAGCATAATTTCAATTTCAATGTCTGGGAAGCCTTCATTCAAATGTTTTTGTTTCTTTATAATAATAATAATAATAATAATAAAAACTAAAATACCCCTATAATCTCGAGATAACATCAAACTAATTATTATTTTAAGAAGATTATTACTGTTTGATTTTGATTTTATAATTTATATTTAATAATAGTATTAAGGTTTTAATTCATTATTTTAGTAGTCATTATTACAATTTAGACCAAAGAGTAATAAATAATTTTGAAGATAATAGTATGAAAATAAAAAATTTCGTAT